ATGAAACTGCCAATATCTGACTATTTCCGCCTGGAAAAAAAAAGGCAAACTCAGATAGCTCAGCTTAATATCTGTACCTTTTGGAATAATTTCAATAATTTTCTTGGCTTCAGTTGGTTTAGCCTAGGTTTCTATCATTTACAAATACCTTGAAAAATGTAAAATTTTCACAGTCACTAAGAGGACACATCAATCTGTGTGCGTGTGTCCTTGGAACTGACTGCAAAGAAGATATCTAGATACTAAAGTAACTCCAACTGGACTGGGGATGTGGCTCAAGCGGTAGCGCGCTTGCCTGACATGCGTGCGGCCCAGGTTCGATCCTCAGCACCACATACAAAGATATGTCCACTGAGAACTAGAAAATAAATATTACAAATTCTCTCTCTCTCTCTCTCTCTCTCTCTCTCTCTTCTCTCTCACTCTCTCTTTAAAAATAAAAATTGGTTCTTTTTTAAAATAAAATAAAATAATAAAGTAACTCCACCCCCAAGTTATAAAAAATCAAATTCTTGAGGAAGATGATAATGTTGGATAGGAATCTATGAGTCTTCACAGTCATTGCCTCATTCGATCTGCATAACCATCCTGTGAGGTGGATATGAACCCATTTTACAAAAAAGAAAACTGACCCAGAGCACTAAGAGTCATTGTACTGGATTTCCTAGATAGTGAAAAGCAGAGCTAAAATTCAACCCCAGATCCTCTAATTCCAAAATCTCAAATTCCTCATATTTCATAATAACAAGATTGTCGAGAAATTATTCAATTCAAAATATTTTGTCAGCACCCTCTACTTTCTATGTACTCTGTTCTAGCTGGTAGGACTTAGCAGACACACCAAAGTCATTATTACCATGTTTCTAGTAACACAAGAAATACATCTAGATTCATAATATCATTATTTTAAATTATAATCAAAATTCTAATTCAAAAACGTGTCAGTGTTCTTAGAGTGCCACCTGGACAAATGATTAACCATGACCTAAAAAGTACCTTGAACAAGACTAAAAATCTAGTTCTATCCCAGTCAGCACTAGAAAATCCAAAGAATGTGTTTTGATGGTCCAAAGATTTGCAAAATGGATCTGGAGGCTGGTCCTTGGGAGTTGGGGGCTCCATTCCAATGTGGCAGAAGCCCTGGGTCATACTGAAAGTACATGCACATCCTGACCCACCACAGGATTCCTCTTTGGCCTGGAGCAAGAGACCTACCCAGTTTTTTTTAAAGATTCACGAAGGTCATCTACTTGTCATACTCTGACTCATCTGATAAGTGAGGATCAACTGAAAGGAATTAGAAATCTCCGGGACTAAAGAGGGTGGGGACTTTCAGATGATGTGTATCAAGAAAAAATGGTCAAGTGCAAAGACTGGGAATGAGATGCTCAAATGCTGATCTTAGATCTACTGCAGTCTTCATACCCTAAGGCCAGGTACTTAATTCCCTTCCCTTTCACTCCTTTCAGCCCTCCTCCCTCCCCTCTCCTGGGTTAATTGTTTATCTGTAAAATAATACAAGCAGACCAGTTGATATCTAAGGCTCCCTTTAACTGCAAAAATTCTTGTTTCCACCACATGGTTGAAGAGAGTTCAGGCAGAAGCCCTATAAAGAACAGAATAGAGGAATCTCAAGTAGAGAAATATAAGCCAATTGCTGTGAAATAAAAGCATTAATCAAGTATAAGTGAGATGTGACAAAAACACAATTCTTTGAAACATACAAACTTCACTCAAAGATGCAAATGTCATAAGAACATCACCAAATTTTACTGGACTAAAGATATAACTTTTTGAAGGTCAATACTATAAAAATAAAGAGTACATCCTCAAATCTGGGAATTCCTTAAAGACCTATTAGTAGAAAATGCTTAAAGAAGACTTTTCTACATGCGTTGAAAATTGAAAATATGAACAATAAGCAGGAGTATATTACTTTAAGTGTTGATAAATATAAAAATAGTACTTTCCTAACAAGTGCAAGGTCCTGGGTTCAATCCCCCAATACCTCAAATAATATATACATACACTACTAGTTTATTTTCATGATCTATATACCATACATCATGCTAAGTACTTTACAATTTCAGCGTTTCGTGTTCATATAGAATGCCACGGGATAAGTTCTTATTATCATGTCAATTTTGCAGTTGAACACCTGAGTCATGCAAAGTCAGGTGCCTTCTCCAAGGTCACAAAGCTAAAATGTAGTGAAGCTACTACTGCAACCTAGAGAACTTAACTCCTGAAGGCACTCCTAATTTTTTTTTCTTGAAAAGCATTATGAAAAAGATGAAGAAAATGCAAATAATTTTTACAGACATGGAATTTTTAAAACAGAAAAGCTAACCATGCAACACTCAACATTCTGCTCTTCCAGTTTCTAGTGGCACAAAGTTAGTTCTGGTTTTCTACCTAAAATGCAATGCTTAACTAAAGGTATTTACAATTTCATCATATTTTATTTCATATCATATGACTCTATAAGGCAAAACAAGGGGAATACAGAAGACTCTTCAACCAACCAGGCTCAGGACATTTAGAGGACATATATCTAAAAATATATCAGATATGAAGACTAGGAATGAAGAGACCTGGGTTCAGATCTTAAAAACCTAAAGTTTCTGAAAAAATTTCCACCATCCATGGTTATGAAGCAGCAGGTGAATTTTACCCAGTAGGGACTTGCAAAATGCTTCTGGCCTTCTTTAATAACCTCACACATGTACAACATTTTTTTTAGCTGTTGATAGATCTTTTTATTTTATTTTTTTTATACCCAGTGCTGAGAACTGAATCCAGTGCGCCTCACACATGCCAGGCAGGTGCACTACCACTGAGCCACAGCCTCAGCCCCAACTTACCACAACACTTTTAGCACAAAACAAAAGAGAAACAGAGAAGACATACCATAATGGTTAAATTATGGACTCTATGGAGTCAGAATTCCCTAGGTTTGCCTCATACCTTTGCCATTTTCTAGTAATATGAACCATGGGCAATTCTTAATTGCTATATGCCTCCATTTTCCCATCTGTAAATTAGGGATAATAACACTACTTTCTTTAAAAGGATATTATAAAGGCAAAATGAATAGATAACTGTAAGATACTCAGAACAGGACTTGTCACATATGTAAATGTGTGCTGTGTTATTACTACTATACATATTGTTACAATATATTATCATAGAATAAAGATACATGGATGTCAACTACCAAGAAGAGAAGAAACTGGTTATTTAAAGACTAAACCATCCACCCAGGGAAAAGAATATGTTTTAGATGTACAGGGACTTTGTAAATTAATCAGGGCAAGATTTCTTTCTGTCAGGCAGGAACAGAAACATGTAGTAAATCCTATTGCTATATTTAGCACATGAGATATATAGATATACATAAATATAATATATACATATATATTTGCACTGTGCAAACTTCCCATAATAAAAATAAATTCTTTCTGTTTCCAACACTGAAAAAGCTGTCCAAAGAAAGAATTATTAACGGTCTCACCCTGCCTCCCCTTCCTTTCCAAAAGATTTTTGCAAAACCAGTGGGGTTTGTTGCCATTTCCAAACTTCTTCCCAGGAAGTCTGAAATGGGTGCTGCTAGGAGTTGCTGTATAATTACTTACTTGATTCTCTCTAAGGAGCTTACGCTAAGAATTGAAGAAAGAAAGCAGATTAACCATTTGAATACATGCCACGGCCCATCCACAAGCCCTCCCCTCTCTCCTCCATAAATGGGGGCTTCCACAGTACGCACCCGTCAACCCCAATACGTGATCCAGGGAAATCAATTTATTGCTTTGGCTAATCCTGCAACAATAGGGGTTTCATTTTTATTGTAGGGCAATTAAGATGTCCGACGGGAAGGAGCAGGAGGGGAAAGGGGGGACTCCCCCATCCCCACAGACAGATTAGTCCCTGCAGTGGCAGCAGTGTCCGCTCTGTCTGTCTGGTGGTCGGTCACACGCAGCTCGCGGCTGCTACCTAGCAACGGAAAGCCAGGGAGAGAGCTCGAGGGTTCTCCCGTAGCCTCCTGGCCCTTTCCATTCATCCCAGCTCGCTCTCTCTCGGGCGCTGGCGCTCGCTCTCTGGCGCTGGCCCCCACCCCCAAGACCCCCATGCTCTCTCGCTCTTTCTCCCCTCCTTCTCTCCATGCCTTTCACTTGCTTGTCTTTCCCTCTCTCCTCAGCTTCTCTTACTGTTTTTATTCCCTCCACTTCTCCTCCCTTCCCTCTGTTTCTGTAAAAACAACTCTCCAACAACTTGAGAAGTTTAAAGCCATACTAGAAACTTTCTGCATTCGAGCCCCAAAACTGGCGGCGCAAACTGGCCCCATTCATGCACACAAAAGCCCCCACCTCCCTGTTGGAAAGCAAAACTCCTCAAGAAAATACTCCAGTATCTCAGCTGCACTCTCGGCCAATCCCGCCTCCCGGTCTTATCTTGGCTCGTAAATGATCTGTATCATGAGATGCGGTCTCTTGGGGGTCACCGCGGGACCAAGTTTCGCCGGTGATGGGAGGGGGAACCCTGGCCTGCGGCCCTGAGCGCGCTAAGCGATCTCCCTAGCCAAGCGCTGCAGGTGGAGAACTGCGCTCAGAGCTGCGAGGACGCTCAGACTCCAATAAAGAAATCCTTGGTAGGTGCAGGTTGCAGATCTGCAAAAAAGAACCTCTTTTCCCGGTCCCAACTCCAAAGTGTTTTCCAGAAAGGTCAAGACAAACCCGCGTGGGAAGAAAGACGAGGATCCCTATGGGGTGAGCTGTCATCAAAACCGGTAGAGCTGCGTTCTCAAGTTGGCGGCTGCTGAGTTCCCGGGCCAGCGTTGGGGCAATAGCGCTAGTCCGCTCGCAGGGCAACCTTAGTTCCCCCCAAGAAGAGCAGCTGCCGCGCAGCCGCCCTACCCTGGTCGCTCCTCTCCGCTGAACTCTACCCCGCCGGGCCCAAGGAAGTCCATAGCCCCTGCATGGCTCTGGCCAGTGGGTGCTTACCTTGACCACTGACCCGCACCAGGCAAGCGGCGAGAGCCAGCAGTAGCTTGCACCTCACCGCCGCCGGGCGCTCCATCCTAGCGAAAGTCCCCGGCCTCGCCGTTCCTCCCGGGAGGTGGGCGCGCGTCCCTCACAGCACCAGCAGCGCCTCCTCTTGTGATTGCTCCTTGCGGTCCGCACCTCAGCTCGCCTCTAACAGCAGAAAGCCTGCCCGGAGGCCTGAGGCATCCCGTTTTCTACCCGCGCCAGACCCCACCCTCCAGACAGTGCATAAAGCCCTTTAGACCCGACCGCCCCGGAACTAGCATGCGGGAATCCAGCGGGGCAGGCCCCCTGCCGCCCGGCCCGCCCCCTGCACTTTGCAGCGCAAGGAGGAGTGGGCACTCGAACACAAGCGCGCTCACACATGCACACTCCACACACGCGTACACTCATGCACGGACTAATTCAGGCACACACACTGCTCACTGCCACACAAATTGATTCAGTCACGCAAGCGCGCACTTTTCACAGTCACACTAAAACATTGACATGGTCACTCTTAAGCATACTTATACGCCAGCGTTTGCGCTGCCTTCGCCTCTCTGCAGGATTTGCCTCCGAACAGAAGCAGGCTAGGCGTCCCACGGGGAAATCGGCCAGGGACATAAACTTAGAAACTAAATGAGCAGTGCAACGGAATAGAGAAGGCGGGGGAGGTCAGGAGTAGAGAAGAGAAAGAAAAATAAGCGATAGAAAAGGAAAAACGAAAAGATAGACAAGGGGGGGAAAAAGCGCGGAGGGAAAAGAAGGAGAGCGAAGGGACACCAAGAAGGGGGAAAGGGCAAGAGTCAGTTGGAAAGATCTGCGACCTTCATTCCCAGACCTGAACTCTCCCGCCTCCCTTGGAGTCCCTGACTTCCCCAGATAGGATTCAGGCTGCCCAAATGGAGTCTTCGTGTTTTTATAAGTTCGAGAGGTGTTTGGATCATTGTTGAGGAAACCATTGGCACGTTTAGCTTTTAAGTGCCGCGTCTACAGGTGTCGCGGTCAGGTTGCGCTTCTTTACAAGTCTGTTCATTTTGAAACAAACTGAAAAGAATGTCTTCTCCGTAGTTATTAAGAAGAAGCAGCACTAGGGGTTTAGGAAACTCCGAGGTTCCCTTTTGAGGGGCCACGTTGAACAGGCAGGCGGGGACCGGGCTCCCAAGAGCACTGAGAGTGAATCTTACACGCGACCTCAGAGCCGGGTCCCCAGCCTGTACGCGTCACCATAGCACCGAGAGAAAAGGAGAAATGGTGCAACTTATTGCCGACACTGAGAGCTCAATATGAAGAGGGGTTGGTTCCGGACTCAGGTTTTCCCAGAATCTTCTGCCCGGACCCCTGAAGCAGCGCGGCCAGTACAGGATCCTGGCCCAAGGACCCCTTTCCCTCAGCTCCCTCAAGGGAGCTGTGACGCGTGCAGGCTACAAGCTCTATATCCACGTGGTCCCCGGACAAGGTCCCGCTGCCTCCCCTCTCCACAGGGGTGACTACGTGCCAATTCCTGCTAGCCCCTTTTTCCCAGAGTACTGACCACCTGGGGCTCAGCTGACCCCAACAGTCCTGATCATATAGCTTGGGTAGACTCTGGTTGGAGCAGCTTTGGAGATCAGGGGTAGGATGGGTGTAGACAAACAACTCTTAAGAGTTGTGAAGAGTAGTTTCTTAACCGGGAATTCCAGAGTTCTGTGCTCTGGCCACTGGAATTCTACTTGCTTCATGCTGTTCCTTGCCTAGGAGGAAGCACAGTTGGGGACCGGCGGGGCTAGAAGGGGGACTGGAGAGGGAGAGAGACGACCCCGGTGGGAGGAGGGAGGCGGTCAGGGGGCGCGTCGTTGCACTCCAGTCTCTGCGGGTGATTTATGCCGGTTCCGGGCGGCCGGGGCGATGGTACGAGACCGCGCAGGGGTCAGGCCAGTGCGACTCCCGCAAGGGCCGTGTTGCATAGTCAATGAGCGTCCCCGCACCTCCAAGTTACAAAGAGCAGCCGCGCGCGCGCATGTTGGGAAGGCGCGCGCGCCTGAGCGAGCGGATGGGAGGGAGTACCGCGTGTGGGAGGGGCTGGGCTTCCTCTCGGGGCGCGCGTGGGTGCGCAGGCGCGAGTGTGAATGTGAGTGAGTGTGTGTGTGTGTGTGTGTGTGTGTGTGTGTGTGTGTGTGTGTGTGTGTGTGTGTGTGTGTGTCCTTTCAATGTAGCAGTCGGGGCTCCAAACATTCCTTTCTGCACTGAAGGGTTTTCCTCATTGTTGTTGTCTTTGTGCTCCAGTGTTGCCAACTTACTGGAATTCCTGACGTGGTTGCACAGCAGGGCTCAGGCGGACGGTAGGAGCCAGCTGCATTTGTGTGTCGGGCTGACCCAGCCGCTAATCCCAAAATAACGCAGAAGGGGTAAAGAAGAGAGGAGGGGATCAGAAAAGGGTAGGGATGGGAGACCGAAGAGGATCCGTCTATCCTCACTCACTTTCTTAAAAATAAATTCTTAAAAGAATATCTTTATAATCCCAAATTCATGGCACTTGGAAATAGCCTGCACCATGCACGTGTTTATCTCAGGTATCTATTCCTTACTGAGAATGCATGTTGCTAGATTTGGAGAATTAAGACTATGGAACAGCATCTGAGAAAGCCCAGACTTACTTCACTTGTGATGTAAAGCACCAATGCAAGTTTAAATTATTTTTCACACTTCTCTTTCTCTGCATATAGGACTGTATAGGGCAGATAACCAAAAAAGCATAGGGAAAAGTGCTGAAAAGTGAAATTCCTTCTAACAAATTTATGCTAATTAGCTTCCTTGGTATATTTTTCACTTGAGCATACCAAATTACAGGAAATATTTCCAGAAAATTTGTTTCTATCCCTAACTAACTTCATGCTTCCTGCAGTGGGCATGAGGTAGTAAAATCTCTGTAAGTAAAATCCAACTTCAGTTTGCTAAGAATCCAACCTTGATTTTCTTTCTAAGTGACACAGACCCAGTTGCCCAATGGACAGCTCCAATCCAGCATTCTAAGATCTCAAATTCAACACCATGGAGTCTGAACCTTAATGCTTAGGCATCTCAATAAGAAGAACCACAACCACCTTCTACCCCAAAGGCAGAGCCAGAAATTTGTGTCAATCTTGATACCTCCCTCTTTTCTCCACACTCAAATGCCATCAATCATGAATTTCAACTCAAGTTTCTCAACCTATTCACTTCTCCTTTAAATATAGCCACTTTTCTCAACCTGTTTGTTAGTAGCTACCAATCTCTCTCACCTGAATTATGGCAAAATTTATTATAGGCTCTTTGCTATCAGTTTTACTCCTCCCATCTATTTTCCAGATGATTCAAAGTGATATTTCCGTCAGATTGGTGTTTTCTAGTGGAGGTCTTCACCCATTAGAGAGGGATTAAATCAGTTTAGTAGGCCATATTTCTCATATGCTTCTCAGTCAAAAAAATTTTGAGGTATCATCCCACAAATTACTTATTAATTAGGGAAAAGAGTAACTTCAAGCAGGAAGACCTGGAAAGTGTTTTAATAGGTTCTATTATTATTTGTGTATGTAAGGACAACAGATCAAGAGACACTTACCATTAAAAATAAAGTTTTATGGGACTGGGGTTGTGGCTCAGTGGTAGAGAGCTGGCCTCGAACGTGTGAGACCCTGGGTTCGATCCTCAGCACCACATAAAAATAAATAAACAAAATAAAGATATTGTGCCCATGTATAACTTAAAAAGATATTTTAAAAAAATAAATAAATAAAATAAAATAAAGTTTGTCAGCCAGGCGAAGTGATGCGTGACTATAATCCCAATGACTCAGGGGGGCTGAGGCGGAGAATAGCTAGTTTGTGGCTAGACTCAGCAACTTAGCAAGATCCTGTCTCGAATTTTTAAAATAAAATAAAAAGGGCTAGGGATATAGCTCAGTGGTAGAGCACCTCTGGACTCAATCTCCAGCACCAAAAGAAAATATAGGGGCTGGGGATGTGGCTCAAGCGGTAGCGCACTTGCCTGGCATGTGTGCGGCCTGGGTTCGATCCTCAGCACCACATACAAACAAAGATGTTGTGTCCGCAGAAAACTAAAAAATAAATATTAAAATTCAAAAAAATATTATAATTTGTCTATATGCTTTCTAGTTGCCATGTCATGTCCTGAGTTACTTTGTTCAACCATGCCCTTCTGCCATGATGTGCTACCTCTCCTTGGGCCCAAAGCTATGGATTTGATCATCTTTGGACTCAGATTTCTGAAACCATAAGCCTCCAATAAAAGTACTCTCCTTTAAAAGAGAAAGAAAGAAAGAAAAGAGAGAGAGAGAGAGAGGTATTTGTAGTGAGGACACAGTATAAACAAATATGGCTGCTTCCATTATAACCCTTTGAATGGAAGAAAGTAACATCCAGAAAGAAAAGGGCTTAACAGAAAACCAGGTGACTCTGACAGACCACTGAACTACTGTGCTGCTAACGGTCTGCATGGGTCAGCTTCGGGTCTGCTGTTAGCTGCAATTATTACCATCTTCCCCTAGATTTCCAACTACATCCACAGGATCAATTCAATGACTGCAAATAATTAAACAAAAAAAGTCTCTGGGACTGGAATATGCATCACGCCATAGGAGACTACACAAGAAGGCAGAAGAAAGAGGAGGAACTGTGGGCAAGTACATTTACTGTGATTTCCATGGGCAAGTAGGTTTAGGATAGACCAGATTTGAGTTTGAAAAAGAGGCAGGAGGCAGAATGTCAAGGCAAGGTGACTCAGGCACATTATCAGGTGGTCCAGCACAAGGTATGCCTGGCATGTGGGAGAGATGTTAAAGCATTAAGTTTACAGGAGCTAGAAACATAAACACAATAACCACCACATTGATCAAGGAATCAAAGATAACACAAGAAAACTAATACAGGACAAACTGACATCATGTGACACACAGCAAAGGACACAGCAGCACCTGACAAAAATGGTATTACTGACAAAAGTGAATAAACTAAACCTGACTGTGAAAAAAATTAGACAATCTGGTATTTTCTCATTTTATAGACTATCCAAACTGAAGGACATTCTATAAAATAACGACTTGTATCATCAAAGTAACATAGCCATAAAAGACAAATAAAGGGGAAGGAAAGGGGGAGATATTGGGAAATGGAATTGATCAATTAATGTTATATGCATGTACAAATATGTCCCAATGAATTACACTATAATGTATAATTATAATGCACAAATAAAACATTTTTTTAAAAGACAGAGGCAGAGAAACTAATTAGAGATATAACAAGTAAATGGAATACCCAACCCTGACATGGATCTTGGACTAGAGAGAAAGAACAACTCAAGAATATTGTTGGGAGGGTGGGGATGTGGCTCAAGCAGTAGCGCGCTCCCCTGGCCCAGGTTCCATCCTCAGCACCACATACAAACAAAGATGTTGTGTTTGCCGAAAACTAAAATGTAAATAAAATATTTTTTTTAAAAAAA